CTTGAATCATATGTGCAAAACACCGCGATCACTGAAAATTTCCAATTCATTCAACTTCATGTTAGATTACCAGATCAACAGTAGGGGGCCAGTATCAATACAGATGATATGGAAAACTCAAAAAGTGGAATGCACATCTTCCAAAATTAGGAAAACATTAGCGATAAGAGATAAATTTTCTCTTTGAGCTACCTATAAAACATGGCATATGAGATTACTTCAAAACTCTCATAAACTACAGCAAGATATAAAATCAGTGAGGCACATAGAGATAAACGATAAAGCAAATTCCCAGCGGTATTATTATCAATAAATAGACAAATAAACAAAAACAGATAAAAGAATTAGTCTTCAACTGTCTGCAACTCTTTCAAGACCTGCTCGATTTGTAGCATGGTGTCAGCTGGGCTGGTTACACTATGTCCAATCGTTCTGGGGTCTTCGAATATGGCGTGGTCATTTCCTCCCTAAAAGACATATACATCAGATTTGAAATTTTGTTGCTAATAAGGGTCCAATTCCAACTAAACATTATCGAACAGGGGTCCGCAGAGTGTCATAATCTCAAGGTTTGATTCACTACGAATGGTTTGCATAATAAATATGGAGACTAACCGGCATTGTCTTGTCGCCAAAGAAGTGTATTACATCAAAGTCCTTTTCAACGTACTGCAGACAGTATGTCTTATCCCATCCATACGGGAATACATCCACACTTATTTGGCCTCCTTAACATCCACGGTGTATTTCAAAATAACGCAGTAGAACTTATGATTACCTATGACACAGTTGAGTCCATAATCCGAGAAACTTTCCAGTAGTGCTTTAACAAATTTTTCACGTATTTTGTGCTCCGCGTCATAAACAACAAACTGATCACGCTCTGCCTGACTACAACTTCGACCAATTGGAGACAGATTGAGCATGCCCTTCAAAAATGATTCATTAGAAACTAACTAAGCTCGTAACTTGGAAACTCACCTTTCTGAATTCAACAAAATTCCCTCGTTTGACGGGTAAAGTGATTTCAGAGAAATATCTCAGCGTGAAATTTATAAGCTTTTGAAGCTTTTCTTCACCAATAAAATCTTGTATGGTCTAAACTGATACGGAATTATTGTCCTTGTTTGGCAGCTAAGCCGAAAAATGCCCAATAAATCCTTAATTCCCTGATACAAGGAAGAACTCACTCTGCTGGGAAATTGCTCCTTCCCTTTGAAACCAACAAGTCCATTCTCCGAAAATACATAATCGTATTGTGACAGTACTGAAATTCACAATATAAGGGATCAATTTGCATATCGCGTAGACAGCGATCGCTGCGAGAAGAGACGATTTAGAAAAAAAAACGAACGAAAAGTCGTCAAAATTCCGGAAAGGGCAAGCAAAATTTATCATGCAAACTTACCATTCACATGCAAGAAATCAAAAATACCGATAAATTTCTACTTAACTATGAAAGAAATTAAAATAACTGATTGATGATATAACTGTAAAAAAGAAAAACTCACACTCTTCTTTATTATCAGCTAATTGCTCAACAATTTTGGCAAGGTCCGATCCACCGACCACAGCTAATGGTACCCGCTTCCGCACATTCATCAAGTAATCATGTATCTCGCTTTGAATTTTCTGAACATGAAAAAACCAGCAAATTCCTCTCGTCATCTTATGCTTACCTGCCGCGCGGGTGTTAATGTGCCGTCTACATCAAATAGGAGTAAAGCTTTCTTCATGAGTGCTATCCTAACTGCTACTTCACTACTCTCTGGAATACTGTTTCATAAAATCAAAAGGAACTGTTTAGTAAACGACTATGGCATGGGACTTGACAGATTATATGACGCTCATACAGGAAAATTATCGGAAATCTAATTAATCAAGGGTGAGCACTTAATTTCACCGCAAAAAATGGTTTGGATATGTGTAAATAATCCTGTTTAAACGAACAACTAAGCCGCAAAGGGATGAACCATTTATTGACGTACTCTATATAGTTGAATATGTGACAATGAAAAAAGCCAACCTATCAATAAGAATACATCCTTTTTATTTTACAGCTGAAATAAACTAAATTTCACGTCACGTTAAATGAAAATTTTATGTACAAACGAACGTTGAAATATGAAAAAGCACATGAATGCAAGCTAGCACAGCTGGACCAGTACACGTGGAAACAGTACATTTATCAAACTTCGAGATCTATAGAGCACTTGTAAACGGGAGAGGCTGGGCGAAGAGAGCATTGCTCACTTGCTATTCTCAGCGATGATGGGCGGCTAAACAAACAGTGGAAGTGCAAGACCCATGTGGT